ATAAGAAGCAAGAAGACATAACGGCAGTTACTACCGATGATCTCATGGTCGTTTGTGAAGATGATTGTATCTCGATAGGATGAGTTGTGCTACATTCTCGGCTGCAACAGCACTTGTTTCCATGGAACTGGCTGCATTCTTCAGCGGTTGGTTCTTTGATGTACGTTATGGTTTGTACAAGGCCAGATATTGCTCACTCCGTTGGTATGGTGAGTCGTTTTCTCTCTAATCCAGGTAAAAAATATTGGGCAACAGTAAAATAGATTCTAAGATATCTTCGAGGGACTTTGAAGGTGTGTTTGTGTTTTGGGGATGGTAAGCCGATGCTTGATGGGTTCACAGATTCTGACATAACAGGTGATGTTAATTCTAGAAAATCTACTTCGGGGTATGTGATGACATTTGCAGGGGGAGCTGTGGCATGACAATCTAAATTACAAAAATGTATTGTTCTCTCAACTACCGAAGTTGAATTTATTGCCATTACGGAAACTTGCAAAAAAGAGTTATGGTTGAAGAAATTTTTGTAAGAGTTGGGTTTGAAACAAGAAAGGTTTGTGCTTTATTGTGATAGTCAAAGTGCTATTCATTTATGTAAAAATTCTAGTTTTCATTCGAAATTGAAACACATTGATGTGAGATACCATTGGATTCGTGATGTGTTAGTTTCGAAATTATTACAACTTGAAAAGGTTCATACAGATGATAATATTTCGGATATGTTGACTAAGACTTTGTCGAGGGACAAACATTTAAATTGTCGAACTTTGACGGGTATGGTCCATGTCTCCACCTAAGTCGGTAGAGAGAGAATTGTTGGGTATACCTCCTTATTGACGTATGGGACCCAATTGGTTTATTAAAATATCTAGTTTTAGTTTGGTGTTGGTTATAATATATTTTTATATATTATATCTAACCTATGGAGTCCTAATTCAGTTTGGTAACAGTTAGGGTTTTGATAACAAAACTCAAGAATCAATAATATATATATATATATTTGGTATTGTTTTTTCTCAAAAAAAAGAGGTGTTGTATGGCTGCTATAGGTTGTCTTTGGTGGGTTTTGTTCTCAAACACAAGTTTGCTATGTGATTGGTTTCTTGGGTGCATATTCAAGGTGTGGCAATGTATTGCTTGGGCAAACAAGCAATAGTGCGCCTTGTTCGTCCGGTTCAATTTTTGGTTCTGATTTGGTTCGTTATTTTGAATCTTCTACAACTTTGTTTTGAAAATTTTTGTTCATCTATTTGGTGAGATCTTTTCTCTTATTTATTTGTGATTATTTAGAATTCACCTAAGGGTGGTTTGTAAGACCATTCATGTCTCGTTTGTAATCGTTTGAAAACTTTTTGGTTGATAGTGGAATTGGATTTCGATCCCGTAGACGTACCTCATATTGAGGAAACCACGTAAAATTCTTGTGTTGCTGTTGATTTAATTTTTCCACATTAGTTTTTATTCCCATTGATTGATTTACTTGTGGAGAATCATATATTTTCTCTAACAAATGTTTCGGGCAACTTTGATTTGACATATATAGGGTAGATAGTGATAGGAGACGGTGCGGTAAGAGTGGCTCATAGAAGATCGAAGAGTCCATTATATTCCTTTATGTTATGTTTGGTTAAGAGGTTTGGAAAGAAATTTGAAAAGAAAAATAAAAAAGATAGGTAAAATTTAAATAAAATATACTTATATTTCACATAATTTTACACGCTTTTTTACTTTCTTTTTCTAAATCTCTTTCCAAATCTCTCAATTAAACACAACATTAAAGATATCATTAGCCATTGAAAATTTAGCCCCAAAAAAATTTAGGATGTGTTTGGTGAAGATTTCAAAACGCAATTACACTCTTTAGTTTGAGTGTGGTGTTTGGTTAGAAGTTTTAAAAATTGATTTTACACCCACTTTTAAAAACACGTCTACCCGGTCATCCTCCTGAACGTCCAGTCGGTTGACCGACCCGTTGACCAAAACAGTGTTTTTTTTTTGGCACCTGTTATTTATATATTTTAAATAAAAAATATTTTCGGAATTTTTTTAAATTTTTTATGAGTTTTTAATAGAATTTTTGGTTTGTGTGTTTGGTTATGGGTTGTAAATTTTTGAATCAAATATTATATATCACATCAAAAATTTCAAACTCAATTCAAAACTCGTAACCAAACAAATTTTTCATACTCAAATAATAATTCTAAAACTCACAAACTCAAAACACAACTTTATTTTCAAATCATAATTGTAAAACTCTACCAAACGCTACTTTAAACTTTCAAAATAATTTTCATCTTAATCACAAGGGAAAATTATAAAGGGGTGGTTTGAAGTTTGCTACTATTTTAATTGTTTTTTTTTTTTTTTTTATGAAAAGATATGTAAAAAAATAATAATAATAAAATGATATAATAATTTGTGACAAATAAATTTTTTATTTAGATTATTGCCAAACCATCCCTAAATATTCATATAAGAAATTATTTGATTCAACAACAATATTATAATGATCACATTTCTTTATTTTTGTGTGTCATCTCATAAATCAACATTGAAATGTCAATGGAAATAAGTTCAAAATCTACTGGTGGCCTTGGATGCAATGAACCGCAATTTGTGGATTCTCAAGCAGGAAGATTCGACGTGTTTGACTCTTAGCGTAGTTGGCTACCATGACCGACACTAAATAATTTATGATCTAAAATAATAATTAAAAATGAGACCTTTTATATAATAATTTTTTCTAATAAATTTGTATTTAAAATTTATTTTTCTAACTTTTTGAGATGTAAAAATATTAATTAATTTTTTATATTTAAGTTTTGCTAACAAATCTTTTTCAATTGATAATATAATAATTCATAAAATTTTTGCCCAAATTTTTTGTTATATTTTTATTAGTTGCAATGAATTTATTAAGAGCTCCTTTTTGAGATTGAATAAGATTTTCTATTTTTCATTAGTTTTTCATATCCAGATTCATATTTTTTATTAGACATATTTGTTTTCTCTAAAATTAAAAATAAAAACACATGGCCTATTATATTATATCTTAAAATTGGGCCCTTTTGTTTTGTTTTGAGTCTTTTTATTTAAAAAATAAATAATGAATTACATGGGCCTATTACATTATATCAAAAAATCGTGTCTTTCTAAATTTGGGAGCCTAAAGCTTGGACTTGGCTGGTCTTATGATTCAGTCGGCCTTGATTATGACTTTCCTAAGAGTTTAGTCTCAAGGAAGAGGTCATGAGTTCAACTGTCCCTAAGGAGAGTTGAATTAGGAAGAAAGCACTTAGTGCTTTATAAAGGTGGATGGACTAACTCCTATAAGTGCTAACAATTAATAATTGACTTTCGCCGTTCAAAAAAAAAGGTAGCATCATTCTCTGTTTTGTAGATCTAATGCCACAACCTCAGGATTACGAGGCAATGGAATTTCTCAAACATTTCAAAGTTTTGCTAGGAAAAAACGAAAAAGGGTGTGTTATTGAGGACAGTTGTTCTAACCTGTATCACTTCGGAGACCGTCAACGTCACACTATCCATTAGCAACTCTCCATTAGTATTCCAGGTTTGTTTTCTTGACTGCTTTTCTTTCATAGCTTGTGTTGTTTTCTCTATGCAGGTTGGTGCTAGGTTATGGATGTTTGCAACCTTGGAGATGATAAGGGTTTAGTGTTCAGTTTTAGTTGTTGCCAACTTGGGGAGGTTCCGTCCATTTATGTTTCCGTTAATGTTGTTTTCATTTATTAGAGCTTACTCAGATGGGGGTTGATCTTGTTTGCTTTTGTATGCATCTCCCCTTATGTACACTTTTTTTTATGTCAATGAAGTTCTTCATTTTGCCAAAAAAAAAAAAAAAAAAGTATGATTATATAACCACAATTTTTGTAATTCTATTATATGACGAGTAAATACACTTAGTCAAATTAAGTGAACTTATTTTACTATTACATTTCAAGTTAGTTTAGATCTTTCTCTCTTAAAATCAGGATTCTAAGTTGAACAGTTAGAAAGGATTATTTTTGGTCAACGATCATAAAATCCTACCCAAAAAAAAATGCATACCAATTTGTAAATGACTAACATTTTTTAAAAGTAAATACAAAATTAATTACACAAAACAAAGAAATTAAAATATTGTTAAAAATATAAAGAATATACCATGGACAACTTAGTAGGAGAAACTGTGCACCTCATTAAAAAGAAAAGCGGGGAGAGAGAGAGAGAGAGAGAGAGAGAACAAAAGGAGAGGGTTTTATATCATAAAAGGTGGTAGTTGGTTGGATCATGCAATATCAGTAAATAGAAGAAACTAAAATCCTAGAATTAACTTTCAAAAGCGAAAACTTGGACAAAAATTGTCCCCAAATGAGAGAGAGAGAGAGATTCTGAAACACCTTAGAAGAAAAAGAAAAGAAAAAAAAAGAAAAAGTTGAACAAGAGCTTTGTAATTAGTGTTAGTGTGCAATTATGATTTTAAAAAAAGAACAAAGCAACACATAAATAAGAAGAAAAAAAATATATTAAGACATCAAAAAGTATGAAACAGAAAATAAATAGATGTTAGGTTATTTGATTAAATGGAGAGAGAGAGAGAGGGAGAGAGAGAGAGAGGAGAGAGAAAAAAGAAAAAGCAGAAGTCTAGGACAGATAGATATGCCCAGAATTACAATAATGTACAAACATTTTCAAACTGCAACATTGCTTATTCAATCCAACAGGACTTAGTGGGTGTTTGGGGAGTGAATTTTTTTGTAGATTTTTTTAGTTGTAAAATATTATTAGAATTTTTTTTTTTTGTGTTTAGGAAGATAGTTGAGTTTTTTTTGTGATTAGATGTGATGTTTGTAAGAGAAAAAGTGAAATAATTATAGGATTTGATATGATATTTTGTTTGAATTTATTTATTTTTTTTGGTTTTGTAACCAATTTGTCTTTTAGTGAAAAAAAAATCAAAAAAAATCTTTTCCAAACACCCCCTTAATAATATCTAGTTTGGACATAACTGTAAAACGTGGATTTTAAGCCACAAACACAAACATACAAACAAAAATTCACATACAAAACAAAACAAGGCCTATACATTGGATTGAATAGGATCGTGATTGCAAATTTAACTTACAAATATGAATGCAAATTGTCTGCATCAGGGCTAGAGCTCTTCAAGTTTGATGAACTTGATTTGACTTGACTAGAGGATCTCGATAGGATGAGTTGTGCTACATTCTCGGCTGCAACAGCACTTGTTTCCATGGAACTGGCTGCATTCTCAAAAGAATTCACATAGTACAAATGCCGGCCATCCAAAATAAATGGTGCAAACCTTTCTGGAGCCTTGTAATGAGGATAAGCTCCCCAATTTATTGTAATTGTCTTCGTCCGCACACTACAATGGCAAGAATTAACAAACCATCAAACATTTTGAACATTCAGGTAAATTCAGTTATCTGATTGGCCTATGAAAATTAATGAAATATCTGCTAATTAGGCACTCTATTTATTATGCGATGCTTGCTCATATCTTCAAACTATCAAGTCTAAGTTTCCCACTTTAAACAGTTTCTTTCAAAACTTTAGGATGTGTAATTGCCACATTGGCACATATCAAATAAATCTTCCCATCATGCAAAGAAACTACTAAAATGAAAAAAAGTAAGTAATAGCTGAGTCTTTCCTGCAACAATTAAATGAGATTTATGGCTTACCTAAAAATGCGATCGAGCAACGCATCTGCTACTGTTTCACGGGAGGACATCCTGTAGCTCAAATCATTCTTACTGTGTTGCTTGAGAACAGAAATGGTTAGGAATGGAATATCAGAATTCTCTACAGTGCCCACCAGTTCTGGAATTGTTGATGCACAATGCAGGCCAAAATATGCCTTGGCAATAGCAAACCGTTAATAGTTAGAATATTGAAAGATGATATACAGTAGGGGAAAAACAGCGTAACTAAGCATACGAGTAATGAATTTTTGAATGCTAGAAGTAACTGTCAGAATACTCACCGGATTCAAGAATCCCCTCACAAAAGTTGCATGGGTATGATGTAATTTCCTATTAGGAATTAAAAATGCAGGCGTAAAACGAATATTTACCTCATCTAGGGGTGTAGCAACCACAGAGATATCACACGTGTAACTATTTCCATTGGTTGAGTTAAGCTCATAATAATCTCCAAGGTAAGAAATTGATGCTATTTCTTCATTGAGGTGCAATTCAACATCTGAAGTATTAATTAATCCAGCAGCCATCTGCTAGTTCCCTCCTTCAACTGCCCACCACCCTCCCCCAGATCCTGCCAACGAAACCGCACCAGCAAGTCCACTGATGCTAACACTTTGGCCATATTTGATTCTCGTGATTCCTTGAAAAAGTAAACAGAATTTTGAATTCTGATGAATTATCAAAATATTTTTTTTTTTTTTGATCAACAACAAAAGCTTTATTAATAAAACTGAAAAAGGAGAGAAGAGGATGAGGCATTCTCTGAATACAAAACAGTGAGAAGACAACAAGAAAAAGCTCCTAACCGACTAAAAACAATCAAAAGCTTACAAAGCACACACCGCTAACCAATCTTTAGCTAACAAAAAGAGTGGAACTCCTTTAAATAAAGAGTTCCCCGATGCCCAAAAAGAAGATAAGTGACAAACATGATCCCATAAACAATCCACCTCCCGAAATTTATCTTCAAACAACCTCTGATTACGCTCCCACCATAGCACCCAAAAAGTTGCAAAGACCACACAAGTCCATAAAATTTTGGCTCTCTTCGATCCTCCAAATGTATGAAAATCAATTACGAGCATATGCACGCTCCTTTTTGGGGCCACCCACATACCGTTTCCAACACGAAACAATCTATGCCATAGATTCAAAGCTATTGGACAATGCAAGAATAAGTGATCCACGGATTCCCCGCTCTTACAACACAGAATACACCACTGAGGATTTAAAAGACGATTTGGTCTCCTTTTCTGCAATGTATCATTGGTCAAAATTCCCCCATGAATCAAGGCCCACATGAACACCTTTACCTTTAAGGGAACACAAGCCTTCCAAACTTTTTTACAAAAAGGGAATTGAGGGATTTGAGGATTATCGATGATGTAGTCAAAAAAAGACTTGCAAGAAAATATGCCGGACGAATGAAGTGCCCAAACCCTCTTATCCTCCAAAAGAGGAGATAAAGAAAAGTGATCAACTCTAGATAATAAAGAAACCAACTGTGAAGCCTCCCTATCATTAAGATTTCGAGAAAAATCAAAGTTCCAAGCAATTGGAGCTAAGAGAGAGCAAGCCATGGAAGCAATTGAAGAATTATGAGAACGAGCCACTCGATAAAGATGCGGAAAATCCGCGGCAAAAGAAGATTGACCCATCCAAACATCCTCCCAAAACCGAACAACTTCCCCATTACCCACCCTTACAGAAAGATGTCGAGACCAACATGTGAAAATTTGAGAAATTGACTTCCAAGGAGCACGGCAACTACCCCTTAAAACCACGCGCCCACCATAACCTCATAATCTTCTGCAATCCCAAAAATCAAAGGGAATAGCTACTCTAAAGAAGTATCCCCACACCACCTATCACACCAGAAACGGACTCTATCTCCCAACCCTATCTTTAGCTGAATCCTCCGCCAAAACGCCTCCCAGCCTAACAAAATTTCTTTCCAGACACCATGACCATGAGACTGTCCCACCCTACCCGAACACCACTCCCCTTTTCCTAGACCAAACTTTCCCACAACCACCTTCCACCATAAATGCTCTCTTTCCCCCACAAAACATCACAACCATTTACCCAGCAATGCCAAATTAAATATAACCAACCTCCTAACCCCCAAACATAACCAACATAGACATCCGCACAGAAGATACACAAAGATGTATCCACCGTCTCAATCTAGCCCCAAAACCCATCCTCTCCAGTATATACAACAGAAACTCCCAGCTAACATTGTCATATGCCTTCTCAATATCTAGTTTACATATAATCCCCGCCTTTCTCTGCCTCAACCTTGAATCCACACATTCATTGGCCACCAAAACCGCATCCAGAATTTGCCTACCACCCACAAAGGCATTCTGAGACTCAAACACCAACCACCCCCCCCCCTCCGAAAGCACCCCTCGAAGCCGATTCACCAAAACCTTGGCCAACAATTTATACACACTACCCAAAAGAATGATAGGTCAAAAGTCCCGAATATCCTCTGCCCCACCCTTCTTGGGAATCAACGCAATAAAAGTGGCATTCAAGCACCTCTCAAACTATCTCGTCCGATGAAATTGCTCAAACATAGCCATTACATCCTTGTTCACCACTCCCCAAACAGTGTTGGAAAAAGCTATGGACAAACCGTCAGGCCCGGGAGCCTTATCCCCCAGGCATACTCCGCAGCGTCTCAAACACCTCTTCTTCCGTAAATGCCCGCTCCAACAAAGGACAATCCACCTCTGGAATAACATCAAATGGAACCCCATCCAGTGTCGGCCTCCAAACTCCCTCATCAGGCCGCAACATATACTCATAAAAACCCACTATGGCCCCGCTTAATCTCCTCCGTAGATGAGAACACCACCCCATTCACCCGTAATCTCCCTATCTGATTCACTCTCTGATGCGCATTTGCTATACGGTGAAAGAAGCTCATGTTTCGATCCCCATCCTTCAATCACAAACATCTAGATTTCTGGCGAAAACTAATCTCTTCCATACGAGCCACGTGTCCAAATTCCTTTCGAGCCACATCCCGGCGAGCCATATCCTCCTCAGACAAGGTACCCTTGTCCACTTTCTCATCTAGCCCCTGCAATACTGTTAAAATATTCGCCTTTTGAGTCTGCAGCCGCCCAAACACCTCCTTATTCCACTGTCTCAAGTCCGACTTGAGAAGCTTTAATTTTTGGGCTAAACGACAACTGGGATTCCCAAGCACAGTATAACTACCCCACCACCACCTCATTGTCTCCCCAAAGACTTCAGACAAAAGCCACATATTCTCAAATCGAAATGGCGACAATCCCTCACTGATCCCCCCACTGTCTAATAAAACTGGCCAATGATTCGATACAGGTCGATGCAACCTTAATTGAGTCACCTATGAAAAATGCCCCTCCCAATCTCCAATCACCAAAAACCTATCAATACAGGACATTGCCCTGTCCCCAGACCAAGTATAACCATTCCCTTGAAGCGGCAAGTCCATCAATTCCATCTCATCAATAAATGAAGAAAAAGCTCGCATAGATCCTGACACTAAGCTCGCCCCCTACTTCTCCTCCATGCACCACACCACATTGAAGTCACCTCCCACACACCAAGGAACCCCCTATCAAAAAGCAATAGAGTATAGCTCCTCCCAAAACGTAGCCCATTCCGACCGTCTAACGGGGCCAGAAACCCCGATGAAGGCGCAACGACAATCATCCGCAACATAGTGAAACAAACAAGATAGTGAAAAAGCCCCCACCTCTACATCCTTCTTCTCCACCACCCAACGGTCCCAACACAGAAGGACACCCCCTGCTACCCCCAATGCTGGTAAAAATGTCCAATCCACAAACCACCCCCACCAATCCACAAAGCACCCCCCCAAAGCTCCCTGACAGTCTCCCCTCCAATGCACTCCATCTTTGTTTCTTGAAGACACACTACATCCGCCCTAGCACTTCTCAACAGAGATCGAACCAAGACCCTTTTCCCTCTATCATTCAATTCACACACATTCCATGACAATTTTTTTTTTTTGGTCATAAGATTTATACTCTTGGTCACATCAAGCATCAAATTAAAACACAATTTAAGATCTTTGGACCTAACTTCTGCAGATTCATTGGAAGTATACCCACAATCAGAAAATATAGCATACAAACTTGAGTTTATTTTGTTAGCTGCAATTACACAAACTTACTGCAACAAATGCAATCAAATCACATCCAAGATCCCCATTAAGTGTCAAAGGATTTATTAATTACTTCAGAAAACAAGGTAGAGGCAACATAGTTTAATCTTCTTTAAAACTCTAGCCTCTTAAGTGGAGACCTTTGGATCACAGACAACTTACACAAACCTTCTTTTTATCCCGACAAGAAAAAAATCTATTCAAAACACTCTGGTCTCACATTCATCTATAATGCAAGACCATGATAACAAACAAACTCTTTTTGTTGCAAACCATATGCTTCCTAGAATATCAATGCACAACATTTATTAATTTATTAGATCATAACTCACACAGAGCACCCTTTCTGCATTAAAAGGTTATCATTACACATAATTTCGTATTTATTAGGAAAGGGTCTTATATAAACCCATGAGGTTCTATTAAGTCCACAGCCATGGGCGCTTATAACTACGTATCTAATGTACTTTCACTTTGGAATCTCTCTTATTCCATTGCTTTTCCTATATATATATATAATTTTTTTTTTTTAAATCAGCTGTATTATTATGTTACCAACAAAGAATTATTTTTTATGACCTAAATGGAATTGTAAGGGATTGTAAATTGCCATGTATATAAACTCCATTGGTATGACACACAAATCAGCATATTTAAAGATTTTATTAGATGTGAAAAGGGATGTCAACTCAACTTTAATAGCCAACCATAAGTATAAACTTCTTTGCTGAGTAACATTTCTGAGGAGCACCCTTTCTGCATTAAAAGGTTATCATTACACAGATAATTTCGTATTTATTAGGAAAGGGTTTTATATAAACCCATGAGGTTCTATTAAGTCCACAGCCATAGGCGCTTATAACTACGTATCTAATGTACTTTCACTTTGGAATCTCTCTTATTCCATTGCTTCTCCTATATATATATAATTTTTTTTTTTAAAATCAGCTGTATTATTATGTTACCAACAAAGAATTATTTTTTATGACCTAAATGGAATTGTAAGGGATTGTAAATTGCCTTGTATAAAAACTCCATTGGTATGACACACAGATCAGCATATTTAGTATGTAACTCCAAAGATTTTATTAGATGTGGAAAGGGATGTCAACTCAACTTTAACAGCCAACCATAAATATAAACTTCTTTGCTGAGTAACATTTTTGAGGAGATTATGTTGTTAGTGTGAGGACTAACATAGGTTAGCAATTTCATGACTAGTATGTGCAACCTTAGGTAGAACCAAAGCCACTACCACGAGAAGAGCCTATTGGATTACCTACGAGTATAGAAAAGGGTTGAAATTTATTCATAAAAATTTAGGTTGTCCTGCGCAGTATAGGACATTCATATTTGAGGCAAAGAATGCATACAAACAAACAAACAATTTTACATGTGTATTATACAAGTCCATGCACTTATAAAAGCATTCAAAAAATAAGAGCCATCCAATAAGAGAACATTCTGAACATATAATTTATTTTCCCCTACCCATATTTATATAAATCAAAACTTATGTGCTTGCTACAACCATACAAGAAAATAACAAACAAACTTCATTTATATGTTCTGTTCTTTCATAAGAATTTCAAAGCCCTTCAGACATTATTACTCTACTTCTAAACATCATCAAAGGGTGGAATAGCATTTCATTCCCACCACCTCACCCAAAGAAAAAACCTCCAAAACCACTTTGCAACAGTCATACAGACCATAAAAATATCAAAGAGCATATGAATTCTCTGCAAAATCCAAAAAAAAGAAATGTAACAAGGGCCAAATCACCCTCATTGTTACTGAACTATCAAGCAAAACCAACAAATCAATCTATGGATTGACACCCTGCAACATTGAAAGACCACCATATTTTTTTCCCATATACAACAAATCAAGCATGAAGGAGCCACATTCCAAAAACTTTTACTTCTTTCCAAACTACTAGCTCTCTAGCCAACAATCATGTCAACCTAAAGCAGAAAACAAGGAGTTTTTAACTCACTGTAAACCAACATTAAGGAGGTTTGGTACTGAAATAGAAAAATCTTGGCTTCGCATGGCTGATCCAGTTCAGACATTCAGAAACAGTCCCCATAGTTTCTTTGAAAATCTACGGCTGTGTTTGGTTGGACTTTGTAATCAATTTTCCACCCACTGATTTGAATGCTACGTTTGGTTTTAGTTTTCAAAAATCATTTCCACACCTGCACTGCATTTCAAAAATCATTTCCACACTTGCATTTGACTGGAACAGTGTTTTTTTTTTTTTTTTTTGGCACCCGTTATTTTTATATTTTAAATAAAAAATATTTTTGAATTTTTTTAAAAAAAATTTATGAGCTTTGAATAGAATTTTGGGTTGTGTGTTTGGTTATGAGTTGTAAGTTTTTTAATCAAATATCATATGTCACATCATGCTTTTCAAACTCAATTCAAAACTCACTTCAAAACTCATAACCAAACAAATTTTCCTCACTCAAATCATAATTTCAAAACTCACAAACTCAAAATACAGCTCTATTCTCAAATTATAATTCTAAAACTCTACCAAACGCTATGTAGATTTCTTGTGTTTTCATACTATAAAATTCAACTATGCTACATTAACACTTTAAAATAAATCAAGTACCCATGTGAGGAGTCCAAATCCTCTACTTGCACACTCTCCTTGTCTCCCTACTAGGCCTGTTAATGGATCGGATTTGGATCGGATCAGATCTGTCAAAATCCGAATCCGATATGAATCCGTTTAGCTCATATTCAATTATAGATTACCTGGATCCGAATTCGATGATTTCGGATATCCGATCCGATAAACTAATCCAATCTATTTATTTATTTATTAAGCTACAATTTTATATAATTTAATATTTTTTTTTTCATTTTGTGTTTTCTTCATTCAAATTGAGAATAATCGGATCAGATTGGATTTTTGCATATTCAATCCGTTTAATAAACGGATGAAACGGATTCGGATTATCAGATTACCGGATTGGATTTTTTGTAAATGGATTTGGATTTTTGGGTGGGTTTCGGATTAAATCCGATCCATTGACAGCCTTACTTCCTACTTGCAATGGTGGAGATGCACCCTAGGATAATCCAACAATCCAGATTTGCCTATTTTAATTTTTTTTTTTCAAATAGCCAAATCTGGGCTGTTTGATTATCTTAGGGTGCATCTCTACCATTGCAAGTAGGGAGGCAAGGAGAGAGTGCAAGTAGAGGATCCTAATTCCCCATGTGAGACACTTGAACACTAGATAGATAAGGGTATGGGATGTATCAACACGGTCAGTTAGTGATTTTGCCACACAACACATAAATAAACTATGCTATTAGACAACGATAAATGATACACGGTCAGATGGCAGCCATGCTCATAATTGTCACCTCACCTGGTTTAGTTCCTGTTCTTATTCGTCTAAATAACTTTTAAGCACTTGAAGATTAATGCACTTCTTAAGACCTTTTTATTTTGAAAACATTTTATCCCATTAAAATTTTATGCTTAAAACCAAAAGAAATACATTTAAGAAAAAGAAATGCAACAGAGGGAAACAATTGTCCATGACCTATGCCAAAAGTTAAGAAAGCAAAAACGAGAAAGCTGAATCAGAAGTCAGCCTATTGTAACTGGGATCTCTTTCATCTCATAGTAGTCTCTGCAAATTAACTACTAATTGTTTTATATCAAAAATTGATTTTAAGACATCTAATTGAATACTTGACTCAGCGCTCAAATGGAAAGAATCTCATAGTGTTTGTGTGTGTGTGTGAATCGTCTTCTTCTAGTCAGCATGCAATATCATAAACAATACTAATAGTAACTAGTTTTCTTCATAGTCACTGCATTTCAATTTCATTGTTCCTCCTTTTGTTTATCTTCATATAATACTTCAAAGTTTTGATCAGTGTATCTAACCATAATCTATATTGTCAAAAATTACAAACTAATCAAATTTATTGACTACAAACAGATGCATCTGTATCAGTTCATAAATTAAAAGCAACCAACATTCAGGAATCAGGATTGAGTTTGCTTTCTACATTTCATTTTCATGTCTACACTTTCATGTATTTCCAGAGCAGTTCTGTTGTCAATAGAGGGGAAAAACTGGAAGCCTGTGTAGAATCTAGACCTTCTGATTAATCAGGGCTCCTGAGTCATCAATGACTATAAATGAAATGTCTGGTTTACCCTGTCACTTCAAGTAAGCATGAACACCTAATAAAGATGACATTACCATTACTACATATCTCTGGGCCTCATGGAATTGGTAGTTTGTCCATTCTTTAGTTGCACAAAGCGGGAGCGGGAGCGGGAGCGGGAGCGGGAGCGGGGGCGGGAGCGGGAGCGGGGGAACGTGGCCACTTAGAGGAGTTGATTAGGAGCGCTTATGTATTATTTTTATTAATTATATTTTATATTATAATAAATAAGGAATAATAAATTTTGTTAAAATAAATAATAAATAAAAATTAGATGCTTTATTTTATAATTTTTTAAGTTTTTTTTATTATATATGATTTAAATAGATTTTTTTTAAACAATTAGATGATTTATTTTATTTATTATATGTTAAAAAGTTAAGAAATAATAAATTTTGTTAAAAAAAATAAAAAAGAAATAATAAATAAAAATTATTTTATATATGATAAAATAAATAATTTTTTATTTTAGACATAAAAATTATATTGTTTATGATAAATTATATTATATATGATAAATATTATAATTTACAAATTATATTATATAAAACAATCAAATATGAAAAGGGAGAGAGAGAGAGAGAACATAATAGATCCAGAGAGAGAGAGAATAGAAAGAAGCAACCAGAGACGAAGGAGAGAAGCAAATAGAGGCGAAGAGGAGATCAAGAGTGAGAGAAGATAGAGAGACGAAGACCTAGGGCTTCGAAGAGAGGGACAAAGACTAGGGCTTCAAAGGGGAAGTCAAACAGCGCGAGATCAAAGTCGTCGAACAAAGGATCACAGCCAGCGACTAGGTTCTCTCCTTGCCCTCTCAAGAGTGCTTCCTTCTCGCATTATATTCGCATTTTCCTCTCTTCAGATTCGCGATTCTGCTGCGATTCTTCCTCAGAAGCGCAGAATCACACTTCTTCTTCCCTGTATTGGTGACATCTACCCGAATGATCTAGAGCAGTGCATGATCCCTAAACAAGATCTATAAAGGATAAAGCTGGATCCATCAATTATTGGTTGAATTGAACCATCAAATCCCATATCATTATTTCACTTCAAAATTCAAATAGTAAATTAACAATCTGAAAGGAATCAAATGCCCATAACTCCAACTGATGCTTATTTCATCTAAATGCCTAGTTCAAAAGGTTATACCATCTCTATTATGCTTGCCCAAATAATTATCTCAGAATAAGAATGGCACTAAATTCATACAACCACGATGCTAAGTACAACATAAAAATAAAACATACTGTTACTTCGAAACACAAACAACAAAAAAGCACAGAAATTAAACATTTGAGAAAAATAGTTAGGGCTCTTACTGTAACAAGTTCTTGTATCAGCAAAGGAGACAACCTAAATCTACAGTTCCTCTTGCAATGTCCTGGTGGTGAGATTATACAAACCAGCCCATTTAAGCATCTCATCCACAGTCTCAAAGACTGGCCTTGATTCACAGCTTTATAGTAATTTAAGAGTCTATCCGTTGCACTCTGCGCCACAAATATATATTCAATCCACATATACAATATATATATATATATATATAGAGAGAGAGAGAGCGCGTGTATACCTCGACAAAGTTACTCATTTTGAAGAGAGAGAATCCATAACGAAAGAACATGCGGAATGAATTGAGTAGCGATACGATCTTCTGGAAAAAAGGGAACTTGGAATTAGAGTCTAGGGTTTTGAAGACGAATCTATGGCCGTCCCAAATGCCGAAAGAAGAGGAGTCGTCTTCATCATCCCGCTTGACGGTTAGATTGAGAAATTTGACGAAGTTAACGGTGTGGTAGTTCTTGGGGTGGAGCATGACAGCTCCGGCTTCGAAGGTGTCTCCGGCGAGGGAGACAGTAGCCATCCTGCCTCCGACGCGGCCGCGGCGTTCGAAGATTCGGATTTGGCCGATGGGATTGATCGGAGTATTGGCGGAGGAAGTGAGCGACGGAGGAGCCGCCGATGCCGCTTCCGATTATGCAGACAGTTGGAGGGTCAGATTGGACTGAGTTTGACGAAGTTAACGGCGTGGTAGTTCTTGGGGTGGAGCATGACAACTCCGGCTTCGAAGGTGTCGCCGGCGAGGGAGACAGTAGCCATCCTGCCTCCGACGAGGCCGCGGCGTTCGAAGATTCGGATTTGGCGGATGGGATTGATCGGAGTATTGGCGGAGGAAGTGAGCGACGGAGGAGCCGCCGATGCCGCTTCCCATTATGCAGACAGTTGGAGGGTCAGATTGGACTGAGGATGATGATGATGGAGTGGAGAGAAACAGGAGAGTGAAAATGAAAACAATCATTGTGTTCATCTTCATCTGCAATATCAGCAATGGCACTTCTTTCTTCTTCTCCATTGCCTCTGATTCACATGTATATGTATACAGGTGAATATTATCAGTAGTGATTCATCCCCGCTCTAATCGAGGCTCCATTGAGTTGGAAAATTTAAAAAAAAATTAAAATAAATAATCAAAACATCATATTGGATTGGATTCATGCACACATTAAAATTATTGGATGGGATTCATGCACACATTAAAATTATTAGAGTTCATCTTCTAAAGTTTTCGAACATTTTCCTATTGATATAGCTAGAGCAAGGTCAGCTCAGCTCTTCCTGATCATAGGTACTTGGAAGCAGCTTCTAACCTCAACCATTTGGATGATTTGTATGAGTGTTTTTTTTTTTTTTAAATTTAAAAAAATTTTAAAAAATGAGTATTTAAAATAATTTCTTAACTTTTTATAAGAAAAATATATATTTTAATATTGTAATAAATATGCAAATGATCTGTTTGCCCCTACAAAATTATTTCGAAGTGACTGTGCATCACGTGAAGTGCAGTACGGCTTGTGCTTGCAATGTGTGGTGGGACCTGAGAAGATATAGTATCAAGTATTTTGTCTTTTTTTTATAGGTTGCGAGGAAAGGACAAAAATAGGAGCATTTTGGTCTTTTTGGCCACTGACAAATGTTGTTATTTTCCGCGGAAAAAGAAAAAGAAAAAGTTATGACTTTAATTTTTTTAGATTTACCCAAACACTTACGTGTAAGGTGTAAGTATAAGTATAAGGTGTAAGTGTAAGGTGTAAGTGTAAGGTGTAAGGTGTAAGTGGGTTGCACATGGTGTGCAACCTCAAAAAATGTGTAAGTGTAAGGTTTAATTTTTTACAAAAGATGTAAGTGTAAGGTGTAAGTGTAAGGTATAAGGTGTAAGATGTAAGTTGCACACCATAACCAAACCCATAAACAAAATATCATATCTAATTCTATAATTATTTCATTTTTTCTCTCACAAATATCACATCTAATCATAAAAAAATTCAACTATCTTCCTAAACACAAAAAAAAATTTCTCCAATAATATCCTACAACTAAAAAAACCTACATAAAAATTCACTTCCCCAATACCTACACTATCAAGTATTTTTTTTTTGGTTGTACAAGTTGCGGGGAAAGGACAAAATAGGGGCATTTTGGTCTTTTTGGCCTTTTACCATAGTAGTTGTTTTCCACCAAAAAAAAAATGAAATATGGGGTTGTTTGTGATATCCTAAATAAATACATTTTTTGACTTTTTAGACTAAAAAGTAGAGGGAAAAAATAAGGTTGTTTGAGATAATTTTTTGACTTTTTACGAAAAAAATATGTATTAAAATATTGTATAAAATAGTAAAATTACCATATTACCCTTAAATATATAATTGCCTACTGATAGTGATGGTACCGGCATGCATACGATTGACAGCAAGATGTATAGGAGCAGATTGCCTACAGTGCTGTTCGAATTGGATGATGCTCTTTGGCCCGTGGAGGCCCACCACGTGTCCCGTTTTGATGATCGAAACCGTTCAATATATAAAACTCGTCAAGTACTATATATTTATAAAAATCACGTTGATCGGATATCGATAGCTATCTGATCGGATTAGTTTTTTGTCAACCGTTATTTTGTGTACCGTTCACTTTTTTATGCAAAACTGATTTGATCATATAGTTATCGATATCCAATCAAGGTGATTTTTTTACAAGCATATAGTACTTGACGAGTTCTATACATTAAACGCTTCAGATTTTCAAAACGGATCCAGTGATGGGCCCTCACGGACCGAACAACACCATCCTATGTAAATTTTGTGTGCGCCCGTTTGACAAGTTTGCACCATCACTTTAAACCAAAACACCACTTCAACCAAAAAGTTGGCTTGTACTTTTTTTGGAGAAATTTGTTTTTTTTTTATAATTTTTTTTTAATAATGATAACTTTTTAATTTTTTTAATAACTTTTTAACTTTTTGATTTTTTTCAAACATGCCAAACCAACCATAAATTTTTTGACTTTTGTAGTGACTTTTTGATTTTTTTTTTTTCTTTTTTAGGTCTACACAAACACCTACTAAATTTTGGGCTAATTATTTTTGAAAAACTGAGCACTACTACCAAAAAATTATTATAGAATAGTAGAATAGGTTTATGATTTTGGGTTTTTCTTCCATTCGTGATTAGATTAGAAGGTGTTATTAGGCTTTTGGAGACTCACTACGGGTCTTGTTTTGATAGTCTGAACTGTTTAATGTGTAGAACTCGTCGAGTACTATATACCTGTAAAAAATCACATTAATTGAATATCAATAATTACGTGATCAAATCAATTTTGTATAAAAAAAAATTGATGGTAAAAAAATAAACGGTTAGCAGAAATCTGATTCGATGAAATAATTATCGATATCTGATCAATGTGAGCTTTTACAAGCATAAAATACTCAACGAGTTCTACATATTGAACAGTTCAGATTGTCGAAAAGGGATTCGTGATGGGCCCCTACGGCCCAACAATACCTTCCAATCCAATCACCTCTCTTGGATGAGATTACTTGTGAAAAAGTGAATGATGAAATTATTGGTGTGAAGATTAAATAAAATTGTATTTGTTTGATAATAATTGTTGGTGCAAAGATTGTTAAATATTTTTATATAAAATAATGAGAAGTCATGATTTTCAAAACAATTCATGATTTTTTCACTAGAAATCATGATTTTAAACTTCAATTAATATTATAATAAATAAATAAATAATTGCACTTTCCTCGGCAATCGATTCCACTATGAATTATTTCTGAATTTTCATGTCCTATGAATGATTGTCAGTCTGCTCCTCTAAGGACTTTCATAGTGCAAACAGACTCCCAATATGAATCTCCATTTTGCAAATAAACATAATATTAGTGCTTTTTACCTCACAATCCAATCTGGACATCTAGTTTAGAAAACAAACAGGGCCTTAATTATTAATGTATATAAAATTTACTTCTATGTAAATCATTGACATATGGATAAATTATGAGAAAGCCTTGCATACTATCCTTCTTGATGTATAACAATAGTTTACTTTTGTTGAACATTGGCTCAGATTTTCAACGATGGCTGTTGATTAAAGAAAAAAAATGAAGAAGCTAGAAATGGTAGGGAGGCTAATTTTGTTGGTGGTTGACTGTTAATAGTTGCCATGAATGTTGTCGATGCTTGTTGAAGACTTTGGCCCTCCATTTTATCTAAAAATGGTTAGTGAATGGGAAGGGGTTCTGTGTGGTGAGTTAAAGAGAGAATATAGAGCAGAGAGAGAGAATTATGAAATGTGTAATTCTTTGTTCCAAATATAGTAAAATCTGTTGCCTGTGGACGTAGGCAATTTGCCAAACTACATAATTCTTTGTGTGTTGTTGCTTGTGTGTTTGTTTTCTGTTTCCTAGGCACAACAAATTGGTATCAGAGCATTGTTGTGCAAAAAACAAAGTGTTTTTCTGTAAATTAAAAATTTCGAAGTTATCAAAATCGAGTTTTCAGCATACCACGACGACCGCCTCGACGCGAGGAGTTCGGACCCAGAAAGACCAACCCACGAGGACACTCCACGCGCACTCTCGCACTTGCCGAAGTTCTGTTGGAGACTTGCCGGAAAGTTCAGTCCGGCGAAGAAGCAAAGGTTGAAGAAGTCAACCTGTCCTAAAGGCTTTAAGTATTCACTTGTGCATCAGTATAGCACAAGTTAACACTTGACAGAGTGGTTAGAGTATTGGCTCAACACCTTCAGGTCAAGGGTTTAAGACTCATCACAAAAAAATTTCCAAATTATTTTTGGAAGCTGCCGCATCGCCGCCACATCAGCGCCAGGTGTCAGCCCAGTCACTGCCACGTCTGAACCACTTGTTGAGACACGTCACTGCCAGCTCGATGACCACGTCATTGCCACATCAGCACACCTGCCACGCTAGCATCCCACTCAGCGTTACTTAGTCGTTGCCACGTGTCGAGGCACGTCACCGCCAGCTCAACTGCCACGTCATCTCCATATCAGCACATCTGCCACGTCAGCGTCCCAGTCAACCAAAAAATTCTTAAATTGCAAGGAGGTCCCTGAAAGTTTGGTAAATTACATTTTAGTCCCTGATCTTGCTGAAATTATAATTTAGCCCCTAAAAACTTCTGTAAATTACA